ATTTCGTCGGCTGATGATCTGTTACGACTGGCACAGGCGTAGTTTTGAACGATTAAGGGGTCAAGAGGTTCTACTTGGATAAAGGGATTTTTATGTTACCCATATGCACAGAAGGCAACGAACACATGCTGGCACCTGTTGCATCTCCGGCCACGATTCTAGCAGTCAGAAAACGGTGGGGAGGCCGCAAGCTGTCGTCTTTCAGCACGTGTTCTTCGGGGCATTACACGGTACTAAATAGGTTTTCCGTTGTAGTATAAGGATCACAACGTTGATAACGTGCAGAAAAAGCACAAAATAGCAAATACTACAGTTAATTTACTACAAAAATAAAAAGAGACGGTCCGACAAGGAGCCACTAATAAGGCAATTCACAAAATACGACTACTTTGCCCGACCAGTGGGCCTTTGGGACTCCACTATCTATAACTGTGCGCCTTCAATTCAATTCAATTATTTTTATTAAAGACCCGTCGGGGTCTCATCAAAGCAACTAAAAATAAATTTACATGCAAATTTTAGACGATGTAGGCAAAATCTGCACAAAGTGCAATGCATCGTTTTCGAGATTAGAAGTCCGTTAAGCAAAATGAAAATGAAAAAAACGAGGGGTGAAAAAAACTCAAAAGCAAAATTTAAAAATGATTGTAGTAATTTAACAGGAGAAAAAAAACCCTCAGAAAAATAGCTTCAGAAAAATACAGGGAGGACTGGCCTGCATGTGGCGGTACAAAATGGAAAATAGTGCGACATCAACATGGCCGAAATAAATGTCAGCTGTATATGGCATTGTGTAACGGATTTCATAAAATGGTACGTAGGCGGGTCGGTCAGGACTGGCCTGTATCGCCTTGAATAAGAAAAATAAGTGCCGAAATTGAAAACCAGTCTCAAGCCGATAGGAACCCAGATGCGGTCGGTTTCATTCAACCGAGTCCATCCGAGCATGGGGGGAGATGCGACCAGACTACTAGTATATGGCGAATATAGAAGGCTTTGTCAAGACCGCCGATGGAGCGCATTCTGTAAGGGCACGATGACAACCAGTCTCGAGGCGACGAGAACCCAGATGCGGTCTGTTACATTCATCAGAGTCCATCCGAGGATAGGGCAAAGGAGATGCGACCAGATTACTAGTATATGGCTAATATAGAAGGCTTCGCCAAGAGCATCGATGGAGCGCATTCATTGAGGGCATCATGAAGATCAGTCCCGAGGCGATAGGAACCCAGATGCGGTCGGCTACATTCATCGGAGTCCAACCGAGGATGGGGGAAGGGAGATGCGACCAAACTAGTAGTATATTGCGAATACAGAAGGTTTCGCCAAGAGCGTCGATGGCGCACATTCTGTGAGGGCACGATGCATGAACAAAAAAATTGGAAAAATTAACATTTCTGGTGAGGGATCTTAGGTAGCGAGACTACTCATAAAGGAAGGAAACGTGAACAGATACGGAAATTTAATAGCGGCATGCTAAATTCCCGGTGGCCCTTTCTCAGTGTCATAGAAAAAGTTGTCTGGGAAGGATGAGGAAAATAAAAGTTTAATCGAGTCAGTATTCAGATAAAGGCGTAGCCTTCTCTTAAAGGTGTGTAGATTTTCTGAAGATCTTATATTTATTGGAAGGTTATTCCAGAGGAAAGTATACCTGGAAGCGAAAAAAAGGGAGCGCTTAGAGGTGGAGGACGCTGGAAGAGGTATAATTAGAGACGAGTTGCGAAGATTGTATGGGCGACTACTAGGGGTAAGTGTTGAAATCCGAGGAAAATTTGAACTATGATTAATGCGAAAGAGGAGACAGAGGCCCGCTTCTAGTCTTCGAACCCATAAAAATTTTAGGTTAATTAGCTGACGTCTATCTAAGTAGGAGATATTGGGATGTTCCCTATCTAAAAGTTTTTTAGAAAAACGTCTTTGGACATTTTCAATTTTTAAACGACTGCCTTCATTCATCAAACCAAAGAATGGTCAACAATACTCGAGAATGGGAAGTACAAACATACGATAGAGCCTTAATTTAATTTCAGGAAGATAGAAATTGTAAGAAATAAAGCCACAAATCTGGGCAGCTTTGGCTGTAATTCTGTCAGCGTGCGG